TACCTAATAATTCTATAGCATTTTTCATACATGAGATGCAGCTAAAAGTGCTTCATATATGGGACTGATATTATTATTATTATTATTATTATTATTATTATTATTATAAAGAATAATATTTACATTTATTTAACGGACGCTTTTATCAAAAGCGACACCCTTGAGAAACCATGGTCAGCCAGTCCCTGGAGCAATTGGGGGTTAAGGGCCCAACTGTGACATCACTCTGCCCACCCTGGGATTTTGAACTGGCGACCTTCCAATCGCAGACACAGCATCCAAACCCATTGAGGCACACACTGTCCCTCACGTTAGTAACCCTAATGAGCTAAGGACAGGAGCAGGGGGCTTGAATATTGAATAAGCAGACGCATCAGTTCTGTAAACCCCAGGCTGGAAACCCCTGGTTTGAGCTTTTAATAAAAGGATATTTATGGTAGGTTAGTGGTGTCGTCTGCACTGAGCATGTCCTGTTTCTGCTGGCAGATACCCGGCAGCAGAGGGGTAGTGGGCTCCAGCAACATCCAGGAGCACCTCCTCCTCTTTGACCTGTCAGTCTTCAAGTCCCTTCTACAGATTGAGGTGCCACCTCTTTCTCCGGTTCATTATTAGGCAGCAGTCGAAGGCACCGCTTTCCCATCGTCGTTGTCGCTATTGCCATTGCAGATCAATCAGTGCGAGTCCAGGCAGATCAAGGGCCTGCCGCTGTTAAGGCCAGCACTGGTGACCATGAGCGTGCACCACTCGGCGGCCTCCATGAAGGTACGGCCATTTTGGATTTCAGCAACATGAGGAAGTCTGGTGTAAATGGGCGAGGAGCGTTTCTGTATGAGTGGCGAGTTCAGCCCTGTGGGGATGACTGTTTGCTTTTGGTCTCAAGCCACATCCTTATTTAATTTAGTGTTTTGCATTTCTAAAGCAAGATTGTTATGTGTTGCTTGACTCGCTTAAACAAGGTTTAGGAGGGGTGTGAATGTGTTTTACCATTGTTGAGGTGCCACTGGATGAGACTGGTAGCTAATTTTTGCTAAAATGTCACTTGTATGATACCAGTGGGCTCAGTGCTTGAAATTTAGAGAAAAACAAGGAGCTGCTGGAACTGCGTACCGGGGAGAACCGGCCCACTTTAAGCACTGAGTGGGGCCCCCCATTGGGTTTGGGCTGTGCAGGCACAAACGCACACCTGTCACACCTACAGGATATCCTGGTTCCCGAGGCCTCCGAGTTTGCCCAATGGGAGGCAGAGGGTGTGGCCTCAGACTGTCCGGTTACTGCCGTCATCCCAACCTGGAAGTCGCTGACCACCCTGGATATGAGTCGCAATAGTTTGCAGTGTATAGACGACTCAGTGGTGAGTGAGGGGTCCATTTTGGCAGCGCAGGGCTTGTTGCGCTGATTCCTCTGAGACACAAATGGCATTGTTCATTCATTTGGACTTTCAATGGATGGGTGTTATATTTTATGTCAATGGTCTTATAGGGCAACCACATCTTCATGGTTTCCTCACAATGCCTGTGATTTTATGGTTAGGGGTCAGTCCCCTTTGGCATTACATTTGTATTTTACACATATAAATCACTTATTTAATTTAATACAGTTTAATTTAATTTAAATTACATACATTTTATCCAAAGTGACGTAAAATTGAGACGCAGCACCTGGAGCTTAGGGGTTAAGCCCCTCAATAAGGGCCCAGTGGCGTCATCGCTTCCAGTCACGGGATTTGAACCATTGACCTTCTGATGACAGACATGTCCTCACCCACAGAGCCTCGCCCCACCCGCTTTTCTTTGGATTCACACATACCCGGTATTTTGGGAAACATAACAAGTACTCTCCTAATAACATACCCCACCCTCTTTAATCATTTTATTACTTGCTGTTTATTGTCAGCGTTTAAAGTTTAAAGATGTTCCACTCTCTGCCATTTACAGAAATTAATACCAAAAGTGGAATTCTTAGATCTAAGTTATAATGAGCTGACGATGGTGGAAAACCTCCAGGTAAGAAAATGGTCTCTTAAGTTTCATTTACCTCTCGTCGTCCATTCAGTGTGCAGTATGTCAACCAAGTGTGCAACAAATACCAAAAATGTTACTCCAGAAAAAACCCACAAAAAATTGCTGAAAACATTGTAATACAGGCACTTTTGTTCACTGTTTAATGAAATGGATGAGTGAGACGAATTGTAATTTTACATAGTGAATAGTTGTTAATTATTGCTTTTGTTAGTAGTATTTGTTAGGGATTCCTCTGTTAGGAGAGCAATTTTTAAATCATTTATAATTCTACCTGCTTTAATATCCCCTTGATCTTTTATAACCACATTCTCTATGGTCAGCTGAAACAAACCAAGACCTTGTTTGTATTTTATTGTTGGAATCATCAGGAGGGAAGTCCCTGATTTTAAATGTGTTTAAACTCACAAAGCCCTGAATAATTATGTTGAAGTGCTCACACTAATCAGTCTGGGTCTTCCTCTCCCTGCAGCATTTATATAATCTCATTCACCTGGACCTGTCCTATAATAAGCTCACTGTACTGGAGGGTGTGCATACCAAACTGGGAAACATCAAGACGCTGAACTTGGCAGGAAACCAGCTGGACAGTCTGTCTGGCCTCAATAAGCTTTATTCCCTCGTGAACTTGGATTTAAGCAGCAACAAATTAGCACAGGTACGGTTTTGCTGGGCTGTGTGCACTAAGCAGGGATTGTGAGGTGAAGGCCGGTGTGTGTAACCACAGCATACCACGTTTACTCTGTTGGGCAGGAATTCACCCAGAGACTGGGTTTATTTCGGTCTATATTTGCTTTATTTTTAAAAACACATAATACCAAGGCTCTGTTGTCCCAGTGACCAGCTAGACTCGAGCTTAGCTCAGATCAGAGTTTGACCAAAATCACTTCAAAGAAACGACCATTGTTCATGTTCATATATACTAAGCATATACCTAATAATATTTTTGCAGGAAATATTTGTGTTTAGTGACTATTAGCTGTTTTCCAGTTCTTTAACCAAAATAAACAAAAATACAAGCAGGATCACCTGTTTTTTTCTCACAACTTATAGAAGGTGCCATTCATTTTATGCAGAGCTAACACAGGACGAAGGTTAAAATGCCCCACAATTTTTCTCTCACTGGCAACAGCATCACTTACACCCCAATGTGATAGCAGCCCCTCGCGTATCACAAGCTGTGGCGAGTGTGCAAAACAGCCTAAGCTAATGACTCCCAAAGCATCCATTGCCTTTTTCATATTACCCGTGTTGTTTCACAATTGCGTGCAATTTATTTTGCGGGATTTTCCGCTATATGCTACTTCCACCTCTTAAAAAAGACTGAAAATCCCTCTGCTACGAGTTGTTGCGTAAAGTACTTCCAGATCGTAACCTTCTTCTCCGATGTACTCTCCTCGTACTGCAAAAGGTATGTGCATGATATCACAGCAGGCGAAAGTCACTGCGCTCACACCCACTGAGTGGCAAATAGACTGAGTGGCAGCATTAGCGCAAAAAACATATTTAAAATGGGAATGACCTGTTGTGCAATTGATTGCAGAAATTGATTTACCAAGAAATAGGGGCTTTTCATAGACTACTGAAAAGTAAGTAAGTATCAGATGTGTATCGGTCATAGTTGTTCAAATATCGTATTGGTGCATCTCTATTTCTAATGCAAATAAAAAAAAATGCCAATGTTACCACTGAAGCAATGTCAATATTTTTGAGGGAGAGTTAATGTCTTGACTGAAAAAACTGCAGAGATGCCAAAATTCTTTGCCCCAGCTGTACATGCTCTTACCATGAGTGTAAGTTTCAGGAACTATATTACATGGTTTATCCCCAATTCCAGAACATTGTAGGGTCTCGCCCCACTAAACACTTACCAGCTCATCTACCCGACCTACCAAATCTAAGCTTCAATAACCCCTCTTTAGAGGCATGTAAATCTGTTATGATTGTAGCTGTTTGGGTATTCCTGTTATTACTGTTATTGTCACGGTAACTTGAAAGCTTGCTGACGACTTTCGGAACGTTTTCGCCCCAAATTCACACGGAAATCTCATTGCTGCTTCGCAGCTCGAGGAAATCAAAAATATCGGGACTTTGCCGTGCCTGGAGAAGCTCAGCCTCACTGGAAATCCCATGTGCATCATCCCGGACTACAGGACCAAGGTTCTGGCCCAGTTCTGGGACAGGGCTTCTGAGGTAGGCGTTTTGTATCCGCGGCACGCCGGTGACCCCGGCGCCGATGCTGAGGGTGACCAAGCTCACCGGTGCCCATTGTAGGTGTGCCTGGACAGCACCATCACCACGGAGAAGGAGCTGGACACAGTGGAGGTGCTGAAGGCCATTCAGAAAGCCAAAGAAGCCAAAGACCGCATGGCCAGCAGTGAGAAGAAGGTACACCCCCTGCTGACTGGCCGGACAAGAGCGGCAGCTCGCGCTGAAATGTCTGTCAGAATAGCAGGACAAAAGTTACAGCTGAAAGGGAGCTTTAAATAAAAAGAGCTCAAGTTAGTCTAAGATTATTATATCTGCATAACAGACAAATGGTGAGGCTTTTTTATAGAATTGTCATTTTTAGTGGTCATTTGTGTGTTTTAATTAGTAATTTATTCTTTGGTATAATTTGATAATTTTTAGAGGTATAGAGCTGTTACTTTCTCACAAACATTTCAGCTCGTCGGTTATGAGGCACTTAATGGTAGTGTAAGCTAAATGGATGCCATTTTTGGAACGATCCATTGGCAGGTTGGCAGACATTCCTCACGTTTCTGAGTTGGTATGGCCTGTCTCGACCTGTCCTGGAAAGTGATCTTAAGGACTGGATCATGATGTCACCCCCTGACCTCAGAGCACTCAGTTGCATTTTCACTGGGAACTAAACCAAAAACTTGTTAGTTATTGTTCTTTGGGACCTTTGCTAACAAGTAGTTTTACAGCTTAAGTTCTTCACAAACCAGTTGTCGATGCCACTGGCAATTATTATTAT